CTTGCTATCACATAGTTGCTTATCTTGCTTAGCATAAGTTGTTGGTGCACATAGGTGAGCCTAGTTGTTGTAGGTTTTGTGCTTGACAAATTAACCGCTAGGTTTATTCCGCATTTGTTCAAGCCTAAACCGTAATTATTTTAAAGCGCCTATTCACCCCCCCTCTAGGCGACATCCTCGATCTTTCACTCTTCTTCATTTCCCTCATTTTCTAATAGGTCTAGAATAGAATGTTCTATAGTATCAATAAAGATATGTTCCTCAGGCATAAAGTTTTGCTTCTGCTTATTATTATAATCAGTCAACCACATATCAATCCTAGCCTGCTCAGCCATTTTAATCACTCCCAAATTGTGATTGATAATATCAGGTTTAGATCCTAGACTAACCCCAACTCCCTCAGCAATCTGCTGTAAAATGTTGTTAGGTCTAGAAATGATATCAGAAGGAGCATACTCACCATAATTGTTCTTCTGTGCCACTCTCTCTTTAGCTAGATCAGTATTTTTTTTGTCTTCTTTGCCTTTCAATCTAGTGCATCTTCTCAACTCATCCTCTTCCTGGGATTCCAGCTCCCCTATACCAGCCTTTTTAATTTTGGTCTCAAAAGATTCAGTTTCCTGACTGACAGTGTAATCCACAGGCTCCATATATCCTAGGCCCACTGCCTGTTCCATTAGTTCCAGCTCTGTCATCCCCTCCTCTCCTTCAACTTTGTCTTCTGCTGCTGCTTCTTCTTCATAATTTTCTTTATCATCTTCACTCCCCATATGTTTTCCCCAGACTCTGATCCTCTCACCTCTTCACTAGCTTTCATATTTAGCTGCAGAAGTTCATGTTGTCTCTTAACTTCTCTTTCCAGTGATTTCCTAATAATGTCCATTTCTTTTCTCTTTTTTTCCTCCAACATAAGCTGAGGAGTCTGCCTTGCTGGCAGCTCTTCTACTTTTTGTAATCTAGCTTTCAGGTTTTCTTCTTCCTTTTGCCTTTCTTCAGTAGCCCCTGCCCCTACCTTATCCTTGATCTACTCATTCTTCTGAGGCATTTCACCTGCTTTTGAAATCACATGCTCATATTGTTTTAGTCCCAAACTCCCCAGACTGACCAATGTTTTTGTAGGTTCAGATTGTCTGCTTTTTTCTGCATCTCAGTCTCCTTCTGTGCATCAGAGCTCTCTAAGTCCAGATAATCAAAGATTTTCCTTTTATTTCCTTCCTCAAACTTGTACCATCCTTATTCAGCAACAGAATCAAACTCAAAACCTATATCATATAACAGCAAGTCTTTGGTAGTGATTTCTGTGCCAGCAGGAACCTTGTGCAGGTCCCTCACTCCCACTTTAACTCTGATCTCCTCCCTAGAATGAATATGTTCCACATCCACTTCAACAACTGGCCCCAAAGCTGAACCAATTTCACAGACTCCCAAATAGTGTCTCAGGTTGTCAGAAATCCCCCACATTTTGATCCAAATTGAATGGAGCTTCCCTTTTGCCTTGTCATCTGGACTCCAAAAATCAACCTCAACCATAGCCCCAGTGCCCAGCAAAGTGAATTTACCAAAGTTTTTCAGCTCCACTAGTTTGGCTTTACTGGGAAATCTCATGAGAAAAGTTGTAGGGCTCTGAAATTTGGCTCTCCATGACCACCCCCAGTCAAACATTTTGCTGAAACCATAGGCCACTGTGGTATCACTGAGCTGGCCCTCATACACAGTTACTAAAGCCATAGGATTAATGTGCTCAGTGGCTGCAATTCCCTTGGTGTTCTGCACCAACAGACATCCCAACCCCCTGGCTCCATATCCCACATATTTAGCAACTGGCTTAGGCTGTTTGAGAATTGTGCATTCTTCAGTATTGTGAGATGGTCTTTGGCAAACCACACAAAAAACCTTATTTTTGCAATCACTCTTCACATGTCCCTGTTCCTTACACTTCACACAAAAAAGAACCTTAGGGTTTCCATTCTCCTTCTTCTTGGCTGTTTCCTTGGGGCCCTCCATTCTAGCACTAGCCTGCTGCTGTAGAGTCTCTTGTTTTGGCATATTAGACAAGAGAAATTGATACTGTTGCGCCATTTAACCCTGAGGCACAAAACCAAATTGACCAAGCCCCATCCCCACAGGTACAAGCTGAGGAAAATTGCTGTTGTTCATCACAGGGAAGCCACCTGCCAACTGAACTGGCCCCCCCTGAATTCCCAAATTTGCATTAACCCCAGATCCACTCTCCCGCCTGCTTTCGCCCCCCCTAACCTGATATCCTTCCTGTTGATTGCCCCCTCTTTCAGAAGTAAATCTGCCAAACTTGTTGTCTCCATCTCTGCCACTTCCAGCAGAATTTCCATCTCCACCAGAGCCACTACTATTTGTCCCAGATCCTCCTCTGAAAATCCCTTCTTTGTTTCTCCAACCATACCCATCCAACTCTCTCTCATCTTGCCTGCCAAATCCCCTCCCAAAATGCTCAGATCTGCCACGAAAATTACCTCTCCCTCCTTGATAGTTCCCTATCTCAGGCCTTGACCTCCAATTCTCCTCCCTGCTATTCATGTATTCTTCTTCCCCCCAGAGTATTCTTCTATTCACCACCTCTTCTTCTTCACTGGTCGCTGTCAAGCACTCCCTAGGGTTTGGAAGGTGGACGAAATCGGGATCAGGGATGAAGGGTGGGATCCCTCCTATATATAGGCCCCCATTCCCCCTGTCATAACCTGGGCTTTTTTTGTTCCCTCCATTACTGGGCCACATTCGTCCAGAGCCCATCTGATCCATATTCTCTCCCCCCACATCGGCCCCCACTTTTGTCTGCCCATCCCCAGCTCCTGAACCACTTTTTTGAGCAAAGCAAGCTTGTAGCTCTGACATGTTTTCCTCCGGTACAATATTTACTGGAATGGCATCTATTTATCTTTCACTATCAGATAAAGAATTAATATATCCAGATAGGCCGCTCTCAATATCTGTATTACTATCAATTCCAACAGCCTCACAGATGCTGTCAATATCTGACAGATATTCAGGGAATCTGGGTAGATCCCAAACCTTGGGTATCTTATCCCTTATCCTGATTAACGCCATATCAATTTTTTGCTTATGGAATTCCCCCCAATTAGGTGAGTCAACATGTATCAACTCACTCTGTACTATTCGTTCCTGTTCTTCGTTCCTACTTTTTCCATCTCTAAGCATAAGGCTCTGGACATAATCATCCATCCTTTTTCTCAATCTACGATTTACATGTCTAATTCGACGTTGAATATCAATGCCCCCTGACTATCCCCATCATCGCAGGTATGAGCCAGATACTTAGAGGGAGCTCGATGAATTGTACCTGAACTGTCAGAATCCTCGTCAGAAACAAAGTCTGAATCCTCACTAGCTAGCACCCAAAAGCGACTGCCAGCTAGTGAGAAATTCAGGCTCTGTTTCCGGCGAGGCGTGCTGAACGGCGAGGCGCTGGCGCCTCCGAGGTTGACGTAGTCGCGGTGAGGCGAACAGAACGACGTCGCACCCTCGCCGTCTCCTGTGGCGCCTGATCCCCTGGGTCCTTGCGAATTTCGATCGGAGCCATGGCCGTGCCCGGAGCAGGAAGGGCCAGGACTCCCTCTCGAGGGCGAAGCGCCGATCCCCTCATGGCGGGGGCGAGGTCCGCAGTTGCGAAGATGGTGAAGGCCACCCACTTCCTCGCCACCGCCCTCACCGGCGAATCCGCCTGATCCGCCGCCCACAGCAGCACCTGCAGCGGGTGCTTGCGTCCTCCGCGCCCGAACAGAGATCTCCCCTCCGCTTCCGCCAGATTCTCCACGATCGCCTCTGCCTCCGCGTACATCTCGCCTTTGTTCAAGTACCACGCCCCGATTTCTCTCAGGCGGATCCGCATGCGCACATCTCTGCCCGCGAACCTGCGCAACTTCTCCTCGCTGTTCTCCACCATCTCCGCCGCACTCTCGAGAGGATAGAGAGAGATGGGGCAAGCAGGAAGGGGAAGGTGGAGTGGGGGGCTGATTTCGATCTAGATCCCCCTCTGCCTTAACTATTCCCCCACCAGCCGCAATTTCTCCCTCGCCGTCTTCCGATGCACACCCCCCGCCGGTGATGTCCTCGTCGATGCGCGCAACGTGGCAAGGAAACGCGACCGTGGCCCCCGGGGTCAAACGACCCCGCCTCCCGACCGCTTGTCCACCGTGCAGCCACGCGCGTTGACCAGGTACACCGTCGAGGTGTGTGGGTGTACCACCACCACGCCACGGTGGTACTTGGGCCTCACCACCGTTTTTAGGTCGGCGGCGAACCACACCGACCACCGCGCCGCGGCGTCTCCTCGCAGCGTGTCGAAGCGTCTCATCTCTCCGGTGATTTTCCCTTGGATGAAAAGCCTCGACAGATCACAGTATATATCTTATGCAGCCAAGCTGAATTCTTTCCATACTTATTTCAATAGCACCGTATTGGACTCGCTGCAACCTTGCTTAAAGTATAATTAAGATTTGGTACCCACAAAAAAATTAAGATTTGGTGTAGAGTGATTAGGCGATGACTATTCCCTTCGTTTCATAATATTCATAATATAAGACGTTTTTTGAACCCACGCTAATGTAAAAAAAATGTTTTTACATTATGGGACCCATGGAGTAGCTCATGAATGAGACCACAAGTCACACCACGTGTGAACAGTTCCGCGTCTAATCGGGAATTTCTTACACGATTTCTCTCATGATATCAGCATTCATATTTGCAATGTGAGTGGACAGACTTTTACCATTTAAAATGAGGTGGACTGACTTTGCTACGCGCAATTGCAAAGGGCTCACCCTCACCCTCACACGCCTCAACCCATCAGACCTCTTTCTTACATTAAAGTAGTGTTGGTACTTGATATAGGTCTCTCACTCTTCGTTCCTCTCCCACAACCTCTGCCTCAATCACCAACTCCTCTGCAATAGGCTCCGAGAACCACGCCAGCCTTGGTCTCCACGCAAGACCCGCCCGGGCCAGCAATGGCGGCGGCCGTCGTCGGGGGCATGATCGGCTCGGCCATCATCAAGCTGGTGATCAAGCAGATCGGCTCCGCCATTGTGGGCAAGATCAGGCTGCACAAGAACCTGACCAAAGACCTGGAGAAGATGAAGATGACGCTGGAGTCGGTAGAGGCCGTGCTTTGCGACGCAGAGAGGCGGTCCATCACGGATGAAGCAGCTCTTCTGTGGGTGAACCGGCTCAAGACCGTCATGTACGACATCTCCGACATGCTTGATGACTTCGAATCTGACAACCAACACCTGGTATGCCATCAATCTAGATCTGAATGTTGTTGCTTTTGTCTAAGATATGAACAGACAGAACTGAATTTTATTTAGATGATGAACTAGATCTGAATTTCTTTTCTGCAGTGAATAAGTCTGAATTTATTTAGATAGTAAATTAGTAGATCTAAATTATATTGGGATAGAAACCTTGGTGCAGAGAGAATAAGATTTCCTGCTACATATAACCATAGGGTGCATTAGTTTCCTATATACTACTCCCTCGTCCAATAATATAACAGCAACGTTCTTATATTATGGGATGGGTCCGGACCAGTTCTATTTTACCGAAAAAGGGTTTCCCCCCGCTTTGTATACAAAGCAACCAACCGAACCATCCAACGATAGGTGCTGGGGCGGAAACAGCACAGTCACGCCCAAAAGAAAAGAAAGAGAAAATACAAGAGAAACAAACGCCGACAACGGCGGATCAACAAAGAAACGAAGAAGCCTCGTGGCCGCTGCACCCACCGGAGATCTCCCACCAGACTCCGAGCCTCCGAAGCACCGGTACCAATCAACACCTCCAAGAAGGAACGCGACGAAGACGACGCTGCTGCCAAGGGTTTCCCCCGGTACGGTGAGGGGAGAGGAAGGGTAGCTCCGACGCCCTTCAGGAAGGTCTGGCGGCACCCACAAGCACCACCGCATCGATGTCGGCCAGGCCAACAGAGATTTCTCCCGATCCCAACCTCCACCTCAGGCACTCCGAAGCTCGCCGCCAAACAGACCCTCACCCTGCGCCAGCCCGGACACGAAGCGTTCAACGCTGTCTCACCACGGCACCGTGAAGCATGGTCGGCACGATGAAGAAGAGGAGCCGGGACCAGGCAACAGCACCATCGGCACGCGGGAGGGCCCCACCTCCACCGCCGAAGACGGTAGCTGACCGGACGCAATGGCAGGAACACACCAGGCCCGTGGCCGCACAGGCCCGGCCGGGAACGCAGAGGCCCGTAAAGTTCCCGCCTTCGCGCTGCAGCCGGCACGCCGTCGGCTCCGCCGCCCCTGTCCAAGCCGCTCCCCTTCCTCCCCACACCGAAAGCCGCCAAGGGAGGCACCACCAACACGCGCACCGCCGGCCACCATCACCAGGTCGCCGGACCGCCACCAGCCGAGCCGCACCACCGCCGCACGCCCACGACGGAGAGGAACCACCGCAGCCGCCGGCAGCCCGAAGCCGGACCCCAGCCGCCGCCCACGCCGCCCGCGGCCCTCGCCGCCTGCCGGGCGGAACCGGCCGCCGCGGCGAGGCGCGTTCCACCG